GACGTGAGCTGCTTACGTGCAGCAAGACGTGAGCTGCTTACATGCAGCAAGACGTGAGCTGCTTACATGCAGCAAGACGTTGGCTGCTTGCATGCCTCAATGCATGGGCTGCACGCACGCGCACAAGAAGCCTGGGCTGAGTCCACCAGCCCAACACGTGGCTGGGGATACCAGCCAAAACCCCAAGATATGAACTGCCCCACCCTCTAACTATCTAGCCCCCCCCCACTCAAGCTGTCACTAAATAATATTTAATAAGTTATCCCAGCAGAATTGTGATGCTTGGCAGAAGAGCTTGCAACCTGCCAGCAACAGAGCAGGTAGGCGGAGAAAAAAGAGCTGTCTTTGTGACAGGAATGAGTTGCAATGAGTCGCAAACCAGTGACAAACCAGTTGGGGGTAGAGGGAGCGGAACAACCAGCGACAGGAATGAGTTGCAATGCGCAAGGAGACAAATGCATTGCAGTATTTCAGGTCGAGGTTACCTTGTGCCGCCACTGCTGGCTCTTCTGATGCCTTCGCTATTGCTGCTGGGTTGATGCGGCTGCTTGTAGAAAAACCCATGTTAGCCCCATGTTGGTTCAGTGGCAACACTCCTAGCATCATAGTCGTTAGAGGTCAGATCCAGCTGGTGCGCAGTGGCCGTTGCTGGTTGAAAGGGGGAAGAGAGAAGGATTAGAAAAGGGAAGAGAGCCAGGTCGTGGTAAGGGAGCGTGCTAGGGTTGAAAAGTGGAGAGGAAACGTTTGAGACAATATGCAGAAACATTCATGTATTCAATCTGCTGCAATCTACTACCAATGCTGCCGCCCTGTCTGCCAGACTGCCAGATGCTGGCGTTTTATCCAGATGCAGTGATTCCCGAAAGATGGCTGCTGGTTAGAGAGAGAAGATGGTTTAGGGAAGTGATCATATGATGCAGGCAGAAGCCACAGCGAAGTGAGGTGAAGCAAGACTGGACAAGGAGGAATTTCCAAAAAGCTGCTGCACCCACCGTTCCTGCTGTTCAATGCCAGCAGTAGACGTGTTGTTGCTGATGCCATGTTTGCCGCCAACAGTTCTAGACCACAACTGGCGATTCAGGAACACCCGTCTGTTCTGGCAGATTCGAACAGGTGGGTCAAAGAAAGTGACGCCTGCTGCTCCAAGTTGCTCCAGGTTGCTCCGTTGCTCCGGCTGCCCATGCTAGCAGGCCGTGAGGCACACACATGGGGAGAGAGAGAGACACGCACACAGAAGCGGCACCAACAAGGGAAGGGAGGGTTAGGAACAGCACGAAATGAGTGGCGGAGGTAAAAGCAAGAGACACGACTCTTGCCTCTGCGCGGCGACGCTCTACGACTCACCACACTCCCCCCTGCAATCACCCCCTGGCGCGTACCACACTCTGTCCGCTGCTCTGCCACTCCTGCACCACGCCTTCCCTTCACGCCTGCTGCTCCAGGTTGCTCCGTTGCTCCGCCTGCCCATGCTCGCAGGCCGTGAGGCACACACACGTATGGGGAGAGAGACACGCACAAAGAAGCGGCACCAACAAGGGAAGGGAGGGTTAGAAACAGCACGAGGCGAGTGGCGGAGTCAAAAGCAAGAGACACGACTCTTGCCTCTGCGCGGCGACGCTCTACGACTCACTACACTCCCCCCTGCAAGCACCCCCTGGGGCGTACCCCCTTCAGAGTGGTCGTCGACGAGAGTCTGACAAAGGGAGGTGTTTCGTCTCTCTGTGACTGCTCCTGCTAACGACGCCATCATCTGCCAGAGAAACCAAGCCACACCCACTCACTCACACCCCTCTCCTCGGGGTGCCAAGCAACGGGGTCCATGACCCACAAACGCACGCAGTTCGTCACCCATCGCACACAGCACACGGAAACGCAACATAACAGAAACGAACGGTTAGAACCAACGAGGAAAAAACAAACTCAAGCAACGACGAAACCGACCCGCGACTCTCTGCGCGCGACCTAAGACTCACGATCCCCCCCAACGATCTCATCCCACACTTACGCAGAGGCCTTCTTGTCAGGATGCTCCTTTTCGCGCTCAACTGATCATGGTAAATCGACGTCTCGCGATCCCCGTTCTGAATCTAACGATCTCCGATCTGAATCTCGCTTCCTCCAATCTGCATTTCGCGATGTCCGATCTGCTTCTACCAACCGATCCACGGCCTCGCAGACAGGAAAGGGAACACATAAAAGAAGAAGACATGCACGTGGTGTTAGCAAAGGAGCAAGGTAAGAATTGACGCGAAAATGAATCACATAATGACTCTCTAGGCGCCTATCTTAGACACACTCCCCCCTCCCTGATCCAACAACGTACTGGTCTTTCCTCCTTGCACAATGGCGACGACGAGAGGCTGACAAAGAAAGGCTTTCCGTCTTCGTGTGACTGCTGCTGACGACGCCATCTGCCAGAGAAGCCAAGCCACACCCACTCACTCACACCCCTCTTCTCATGGCACAAAAACACACGCAGTTCGTCACGCATCGCACACAGCACACGCAAACGGAACATCACACGCAATGGGTTAGAACCGACGGGAGCAAAGCGGACTGAAGCTAGGACGAAAAAGACTCGCGACTCTCTACGCGCGACCTAAGACTCACAATACCCCCCAAAGAGCTCATCCCCGCACTTACGTAGAGACTTTCTTGTCAGGATGCTACTTGTCCTGCTTTACTGATCATGATTAGCCTGCGTTTCGCAATGTCCGATTTGCCTTTCATTATGCCCAATCTGCTACCGCCAACCGATCTGACGACCCACATCATGCACGACGCGACCGGCAGCCTCGATGGCTTCGACGGCCGATCGGCATCACATCCAACAACACCGTGAAGACGCCCCCATGAGCCGGAGCACATGCACAGGCGAACAGAAGAGTGAGTTAGTAACACGGACGAGAGATCAAGACTCGATGACGAAATATATTAACGACTTTCTAATTTGCGACCTAGACGCGACGACCCCCCTACTTGCCTCCGAACCGCCACTTACCCCTGAAATGGAATAAATCCGCAAACGTTGATGGATTCGACACGCCGCAGCTTGAAGATTTGGCCAGTCGTCAGAGGCGTGTAAGCAATCTTCGTCGCAAGCTGTTACCTCGAATGTTGTCGTTATACTCCGGCGAATGTCCGAGTGTGCTTGAAAAGATGGCATGAGGGAAGGGCGAGAGGAACAGCTGGTTGCGACCTTATCTGGAAGCCATTTGCTGAAGCACGTCTATTCTTGTGAGGTCGTAGATAACCGCGACCTCGTGAGAAAAGCAGGTGCTCAAAATTCCGCTGCTTCTACACGATGCTCGTCGCTTGATACCTCAATTCGTTGCAAGATGCAGCTCTGCCGGATAAGCACCAGATAAGCCGAATACGGTACCGTGGTCCCGTGATCTTAGCTTAGGCTTCTCATAATCTATACAGCTGACAAGCTTGAAGGCCTAACCTTATCCGACGCTGCTTGATTGTCGTCTTTTCGTCGCTATCGAGTCAGCCTAGAAATCGCTGGACAAGCCTAAAACGGTACCATGGATGCAATCAATGCTTAGGCTTCACTCAGACTCGGGTGCCTACTGCTCACGAGCTTGAGACTGACAGAGAGCTTGTGGAGTTCAATGTTGGTGAGAGATATGAGAGCGAGAGTAGTCCTGTTCCTGTCATCATGCTAGAGGCAAGATTGCAGTTGCTTGCCCAGGTGACTGACAGAGTCATGGAGGGTGTGGTGGTGAAGGGTGCTGACGATCCAGGCAATGGTGGAGGCTCGAACCGCGCTGCCGTGTCTTTTCAAAATTGGAGTCAGAGTTTTGGAGGGAAACCGAGGCTTGATACCATGGGGAGTGCAGACAAGCTTCCCTAGGTTTGGTGGGATGGTTTGATGGCTTTGGTCTGGCAGGCACGCTGAGGACGCGTCACAAGTAAAATATCGAGGAAGGATCAGGGTTGTTCACCGAACCTGTCAAACCGATCGCCATATCGGTGTGTCACGACTGCTTTGAAGTTTCAAGTGACACGGTCGTAAAAACATGGGGCAAAATTGCCCGATGTGGACGAAATTGCACGATCGATGTGTGACAGGGGCACATCGATCGCCTGACTTAGAAGGGAAAACTGTACGTTAGCGAAAATAAACGAAAATGTGTAACCACCTAAACACCGATTCTAGGCAGGATCGATGTTCTACTTGTGACGCGTCCTGAGGCTAGTCGGCTGTTTTCGGCCGCGTCATCAAACCACGCAGGACGCTGAGGTAAAGCTGGGGTGGTCTGGAAACGTACTGCACTAGTCTGGTACCATATGCAATCGCAATAGACCGCTCAGTAATGCTGAATATTTTGAAGGCATTCTGTTGGACAATGGGCACCCGTACCTGATGACGTGCGACTTCCAGTAGCTGTTGCTTGTGTGGGTGAATATCCCCACGCGATCCACTTTCCACAAAACGATTGGCCAACCGAGAGGACGCTTGCGTGGCTGGTGACGTTTCCAGTAGATTCACCTTGCTGTGGCGAGCTGTCAATTGGCCACATCAGCATCCATGCTTGGTGCTGCTTCTTAGGGAGCTTCGTTCATGCAGTTACCAGCCAAGGTTTACGTTTTACAAGCTGAATCGTGTTTAGGATTAGGCAGTACAGTTCGCTTCCATTCTGGTTGCTAATGAATCACACAACGACAACGTACCCACCCACTTCCACGCTGTTCTCGCCTTCCATCAAACAGCTCTTTTCTTCACTCCATTCACGCCACCGTCGCGACAGTCTCTTGGGTCTGGCGATCAGTCTCGTATTCATAATCGGCTAGTCCTGGACGTATCACAACCGTGACCTCACTTGGCTAGCCGATCGAAAATTACGTGCTCTTCCACCGTTCCGTTTCACTCTTGCTTTCCTCGCCGTGCTCAAGAGACATCCGATTTGTGCCTTCAATTCGAAAGATATTATTATCTGCTACGGAGACCGAGGCTTATCGTAGCTTTTCCCTCCATCATGTTTTCATCTGGGATGCAACGATCCAAGGGTCGGTGGCTGGATGCGGCCAGGGTGATGACGCGGCACCACTGCCAGCGTGGCTGTGCTGGAGCTGCTTACCACGTTACAAGCACACCTCATGCAGCTCCAACCCTAATCGATATTCGCGAGGCGGAAGGAGGCGGACCGTCGGAAATTGGATCTGAAATGTCAGGATGGGGGAAGAAAGCGCGGACGGAGGGAAGGGGTCAATCCGACCTTGTGATTGCCGGGGATCTTGGGGTTGCCGTGGTGCCGTACCATCTTGGCGGAAGGCGGTGGTATTCTGCTTTTCGTGGGATGGAGGCGGCTGTGATTGGTGGTCTCGGCTATGCTGATTCGCGACAGGTACACTTCCGACGTACGGTTGGTGTGTTGAGACCGGAATTCAGGTCGGGGAGGGTGGAATCACGGCGTATCTATGCTAAGGACGCTTGATTGGAGCTCGCGCTCTCTTCATTTTCACGAGCTTATGTGCTCTGAAACGGATATTGTTGAATCGGGTTTGAAATTTCCACTGGAATGTACCCTGTCCCGACGCTTCGCTCTTGCCACTGCCTCCACCGCCACAGGTCCACATACCACGTCACAGCTCCGTCTTGTCCCGATATTTCTCCTCCACGACCCCTCCTGAAGAACCCAAGCCGAAGAGTAAGCCGCCTTTATGTCTCTATCCGCCACGTGTCCTCTCTGTCCGCGTCTGTCGAAACTGCACAGTGCCTATTTGACGCTTTATAAGCTGGTTAAGAAATCAGGTTCTTGTGCATGCAGCGCATTTGGAATCTGTCATGCGTTTACCTGTTTCCGTGGTTGTTTTCCAATCTTTTACGCTCTCAACCCTAACACCGCGTTTGTCAAGCCAATCTCCTTGTCTTTCACCGCTGGGCAGACTACGAGCACTACTACCCCAAGAGGAAGGCGGAGGAAGAGGGACGGCCTGCAGCTGCCGCTCAAACGCCAGGTGACCCTTGCAGCTGCCCCCCCAGCACTCTCGTCCCGTCCCTCTCATCATCTCCTCTTCCACTGCTTCCACCTCCGCTTCCTCTTTCGCTCCCTTGTCCCCCTTCCCGCCACCCCTCCCCCGCACTCTCCTCCCTTGCCCACTTCCTCCCGTGCCCACTTCCTCCCGTGCCCACTTCCTCCCGTGCCCACTTCCTCCCTTGCCCACTTCCTCCCTCGCCCACTTCCTCCCTTGCCCACTTCCTTCCTTTTCCTTTTTCTCGTTTGATCCGTCCCCCTACCTACGCAAGCCCGCCTTTTTCTCCTCTGCCCTTTTTTTTCTACCTTTCTCAGGCGAGAAACCACAAGCCAGCGGACCCCAGCAGGAATCAGCAACAGCAGGCGGAGCAGGAGGCGCAGGAGGAGGGGAGGGGGATGGCAAGAAAGCAGACAGCAGCAGCGGCGGCAGTGAGGAGGGCAAGAAGAAAGGGCAGAATTTCTGGGACGAGGCATTTCCCAAGGACTTTCAGAACAGCCTCTACCCCTTGCTGTCCGCGGCGTTTTTCCTCTCGCTCACGTCGATGCTAACGAGTGATGCCAGCAGCGAGGCGGTGGAGATCAGCTTCCAGGAGTTCAAGAACGAGCTGCTGGAGAAGGGGCTCGTAGCCAAGGTGGAGATAGTCAACCGCACCAAGGCCAAGGTCTACGTGTATACCAACCGCCGCCCTGGGGCTGTTGCTGGTGCTGCTGCTGCTGCCGGTGCCGGCTGCTGCTGGTGCTGCTGCTGCTGGTGGTGCTGGTGCTGCTGGTGCGAGGGGTAAGGGGAGTGCTGGTGACGGTGTTGGGGAGGGTTATGACGGGGATGGAGATGTGATGTACTTTGACGATAAGCACGGGGAGTTTGATGGGCACCGGCAGGGGGAGGCGGCGCAGGGGCAGGGGGAGGGGGGGTTGGGGGGAGGGGGAGGGGCGCGGGGGGTGAGGCAGCGGCGGAGGCAGGTGGAGCAGATGGCGGCCTACCGGTACTACTTCCAGATTGGCAGCGTTGACTCGTTTGAACGCAAGCTGGATGACGCCCAGAACGCCATGGGCATTGACGGCCACAACAGGGTGGGTAAAGAGAAGAGATTTTGTAGTCGAGCTGGGTTTGTGGGTTGCTGTTTCTTCTTCTCACACTCTCCTCCCGTCCCCTCCCGTCCCGTCCCCTCCCCTCCCCTCCCCTCCCCTCCCCTCCCCTCCCCTCCCCTCCCCTCCTCTCCGCTCCTTTATCCACCCCACCAGATCCCAGTGACCTATGCCTCTGAAGTGAGCTGGCAGCAGGAGCTGCTGCGTCTGCTCCCCACGGCGCTCATCATTGCCGCCTGGATCTACTTCAGCCGTGGCCTGCAGTCCGGCTTCGGCATGGGCGGCATGGGCGGCCCGGGCGGCACAGGCGGCGCCAAGGGGATCTTCAACGTGGGAAAAGCAGCAGTGACAAAAATGGACAAGCACAGCAAGAACAAGGTCTATTTCAAAGACGTCGCGGGGTGTGACGAGGCCAAGCAGGAGGTTATGGAGTTTGTACACTTTTTAAAGAACCCCGCTAAGTACCAGGCACTCGGGGCGAAAATCCCAAGGGGGGCGCTGCTGGTGGGGCCGCCTGGCACGGGGAAGACGCTGCTGGCCAAGGCGACGGCGGGGGAGGCGGACGTGCCATTTCTGTCCATCTCTGGTTCGGATTTCATGGAGATGTTTGTCGGCGTGGGGCCGTCCCGTGTGAGGGATCTGTTTGCTCAAGCCCGAGCCTGCAGCCCCAGCATTATCTTCATTGATGAGATTGATGCGGTAGGCAGGGCCAGGGGCCGCGGGGGGTTTGCAGGGGGGAATGACGAGCGGGAGAATACGTTGAACCAGCTGCTGGTCGAGATGGATGGGTTTACTACTACCTCGGGGGTGGTGGTTCTCGCAGGGACGAACCGGCCGGATATTCTTGACCCCGCTCTGCTGCGGCCGGGCCGTTTCGACCGTCAGATTACGATTGATCGCCCGGACATCAAGGGCCGGGAGCAGATCTTCCGGATTTACCTGAGCCGCGTGCGGCTGGATAAGGAGGTGGAGTTTTACTCGCAGCGGATGGCGGCGCTGACGCCGGGGTTTGCGGGCGCGGACATTGCGAACGTGGTGAACGAGGCGGCGCTGATGGCGGCGAGGAATGACCGCGAGGTGATCCTCATGCAGGACTTTGAAGCGGCTGTGGACCGCGTGATTGGCGGGCTGGAGAAGAAGGGCAAGGTGAGGAAAATGAGGGAGGGAAGGGAAGGGAAGGGAAGGGAAGGGAAGGGAAGGGAAGGGAAGGGACTTTAGGTGGACAGGGTGAAAGGGAGAGTCGTGAGGAGGGAAACGTACGGGGGAGTGATGGAGATGTGGGGCAGGCAGGGTGGTGGGGGAATGATGGAGAGGTGATGGTGGCTGAGAAAGACAGGATGAGTCGAAGGACAGAGCGGCGCACAGTAGCCTATCACACAGGGCATCTGCAGCACACGGAGCCTAACAACCCCTCTCTACTCTCCCACTCACCCCTTTTTCTTTGCAGGTCATAAGCGCAACGGAGCGGCGCACCGTAGCCTACCATGAAGCCGGGCATGCGGTGGTGGCGTGGTTCCTGCAGCACACAGAGCCGCTGCTCAAGGTGTCCATCGTGCCACGTGGCACCGCAGCATTGGGTTTCGCACAGTACCTGCCCAACGAGAACCTATTGATGACTAAGGACCAACTCATCGACATGACTTGCATGGCCCTTGGGGGGAGGGCGGCCGAGCAGGTAAGATGATGGGTAAGGTGAGAGGATTGGGGGATGCGAGGGTGGGAGCACCTATGGGTTTTTTGCAGTGTGTCTTCTTATGGCGTCCTGAACCTGCCTCTTGCCCCCCCCACCCCTCCCTCAGGTGTTACTGGGTAGCGTGTCAACAGGAGCACAGAACGACTTGGAGCGAGTGACCAAGACGACCTACAACCGTGTTGCAGTCTACGGCTTCAGTGACAAGCTCGGGCTGCTCTCCTTCCCCAAGGCCACCAACAGCGAGGGCCTGGAGGGCCTCTCCAAGCCCTACAGCAACGAAACGGCCGATCTGATCGACACCGAGGTGCGGGAGGCAGTGGACTCGGCGTACAGAAGGACTCTCGAGCTGATGGAGAAGCACCGCGGGGGGGTGGCAGCTGTGGCGGAGGAGTTGCTGGTGAAGGAGGTGCTGCATCAGGAGGATTTGGTGAGGTTGTTGGGGCCAAGGCCGTTTCAGAGTGCGGAGATGAGCAACTATGAGCGGTTTGTGCATGGGTTTGAAGGGGGGATGGCGGACGGGGAGAGGGGAAGAAGGAGGAGGAGGGAGAGGGGGAGAGAGGAGGGGTTGGGATGGAAGGGGCGCCGGCGCTGGCAGCGGTGGGGAGAGATGGGTGGACTGTGGAGGAGAGGAATGGTGGGAGGAGCATATCTGGTATTAGATTGTGATGATGTGAGGGGATGAGGGATATGTGTGGGGGACAGTGTCAGTGTACGAGCGACTCGTCAGTGTACGAGCTCGGTGTATGGGGAAAACTAATGACAGTTCATCATTACGGAGAATGGTGGTGTAACGTGTTACTTTGTGGTATGCTGTGAATACTGGAATACGTCACTGGTGCACTCTGCCAGAAAATACTCTGAAACGGCATGTCCAACTGGTCCACCGTGCAATAGAACCAGTCTTTGTTAAATTGGGCAGATAGACTGCCTACGACATGCACTGATCGTGATTAGAATATTATACTAGGAAACGCAATGCACGCATGCTGCAGGGCAGAGTGCTGGTGAGTCTAAAACACTTGCTGCTTCTAAGCCACATGTTGAATTCATCTTGGCCTTATTCACAGCTCATCCCTACCACCAGCACCAGCATCACCATCAGCATCACTATCAGCATCCTCCTCTTCCTTCTCACCCTCAGCACTACCCTCTGCCTCTCCTTCCCCACCCTCCTGCCCAGGTTTCCCGGGCAGCTTCACCTTGACCGGGTAATCCAGCACGTGCAGATGAGGCATGATCACAGACCCCATCCACAGCTGCCCCTTGCGCTCCTCCACCTCACTGATCGCCCGCACCACGATCCCCAGGCTGTCTTCCAGAACCTCCGTGATCTCCCCGTTCTCGTCCACCTCTATCAGGTACCCGTGCGGCGCCCCCACTATCATGGCGTAGAGAATCTTCACTTCGAGTGGTAACCGCATCAGGATGCGGCGTAACCACGGGCGCGTGGCCAGGGTGTCTGTAAGAAAAGATTGGGAGTGACGGTGGAGAGGGAGGGGAAGGGGAGGGAGGGAGGGCAGGACAGGAGGTCAGAGGGTAAGGGGCCCTGTCCATGGTAACCGCATCAGGTTACGGGGTAAACCAAGAGGATGAGGCCAGATGGTTTTGGTTAGTGTTGGTGTTTGAAAGGGTGACAGGTGGCAGAAAGAGGAACGAGCAGAGGGTAGGGGAAGGAAAGAACAGTGCACGGGGAGGAATAATGGCGATCAGTTTATCCTTCAACCCATGAAACCAGGGAGCGAATGCACATTACTCGTAAACGCAAACTGAAGATTCGAAACCCCAGCCTGAAGTTCAAACCCAACCCTGACACCAAATTCGAGCTTCAACATAAACCATGCCATGAGGGAGCGGAGAGCGCTTACCAATGACCATGCCTCGTCTGGCATGCAGAGCAATCCAGAAACGGCCCCGCGGGTTCAGGCGAACGTTGTCGGGCAGCCCGGGCAGGTCCAGAAAAAGCTCAGTGGTGCCAGCCTTGGGGCCCTTGATCCAATAGCGCATGCACCTGCAGCCGGGGGTGGGAGGTGGCTGGTGAATTGACTGCTGTATAGATTAAGAGAGACACCACACACACACACACCACACATACACGTGCGGTGTGTGTGATACAGACGAGGGAGTGCAGGATGGCTGATGCCCCCAACTTTCCTCCACTTGCACTGTGCTGACGCCCGCACTGCTGCTGTTTGTGCCGCTGCTGCTGCTTGCACTACTGCACGCACTGCTGCTTGCGCTGCTGCCACAGCTTGCTGCTACTGCCGCCACTCACCTGGCCTTGGTGGTTTCACAGACGATAAGGAAGGACTGGTCTTTGGAGAGAGCAACACCATTGGCGAAGGCGAGGTTGCGCAGCAGCACCTGCACCTCGCCCGTTGCCAGGTCCACCTTCATCAGCCGCCCGTCAGACCACCCCTCCATTATCGCCACAAAGAAGTTGCTGCACAGGCGGAGTGGGAGGGGAAGAGGAGAGGCGGGAGAACGGAATGTGAGGATTGAGTGATGAAAGGCCCACCACCTTCATCAGCCGCCCATCCACCCACCAGATCACCCCCCCTCCATTATCGTCACAAAGAAGGTGTTGCTGGGGGTGGGGGTTGGGAGAGGAAGGGGAGGGATGAATGTTTGAGGTCGCAGCAAGCAAGTGGGAGGTGCGTGCTATGGTCATCCCCTTCCCACATCCCCTTTCCCCTCTCTTGTGTCACCTTTTCTGGGAGCACGCACTGCTGTCCTACCATAGGCTGTGTAACCGACTCCTTTCCCCGCACCTCCCACCTCTCACCGCCCTCCCTTCTCCCCACTTCGCCTCCAGCGCAGAAACCCGCGCATAGCTGTCTTACTATAGGCTGTGCAACCCCCTCCCCTCCGGCCTCCCCTTTCCCCACCTCCGTCCTTCCACTCATCTTACCGAAACTGGAAGCGAGCGGTGCTTCCCCCGTTCCCTTCACTTGTGCGACCTCTCCCCCAGTCCCTTCCCCTCGCACAGCATCATCTCCTGCCTCAACAGCGCGGAAAGCGAGCGCTGGTGTCCTACCTCCAGCTCTCCGCCTCCAACTCACCGGCGGTGGAAGCGTTTGCTGGTGTCGGTGAAATAAAGGGTTCCGTTCTCGTCCTGCGCGGCAATATCAAGGTCATTCGCGAAGAGCAGCGGGCGGCCGTCCACTTGCGTCACGACAGGCTGCGCCAGCCCGCCCTGCCGCCCCACTTTGAACACGCCAAAGTAGGCATCCGCGAAATACAGCTCGCCCGTCACCGGGTGGAACCGCAGCCACAGCGGCCGCCCGCATATGTGCTCCGTGGCGAGATTCGGGACCAGGGTCATGTTGATGCCATATACGATGGGTGATTTACCCTCCTCCAGCTCCACGGGCTTCAAATCGCATAGTTCCGGGGTTCTGACGGGGGGAGCGATGCAGGTGTGTAGGGGACGTAGTTGGGAGCAGCGGATATGAACGGAGCGATAACAGGGGAACTCGAAAAGGTAGATCGCGAGAATCAGCGCGTGGTATGCGAACACGTGACTAGTCGTCGAAACGCAAATCACGTTCAGAGGGGAATTGTGGACGAATTGAGCTATAAGGAAAAAGGGTGGTACCGCTGGGGGGAGGCCCAGGCAAAAGTCTCCCAGGCAGTGTCGTCGGCGTTGCGGCGCACCACGCGGCCGTCGCTGAGCCCCGCGTACGGCCCTCGCCCCTCCAGATCCCACGCAAGACTCTCCGGCCCGAAACCCTCCCCTTCGTACCTGCCGCGTCAAAACAGCATGAAGTGAATTCCCCGAATTGCCTTCACAACGAATCATCTGAAACTAGAATACGAGCAAGACTGGAGTGGATGCCGTATTCTAAACTAACCATGCGAATTACACCGCCATGGCACGATTCAGGCGTCTGGATCCGAAAATTTCTGATCGTCAGGAATTGAGCGAAACGAGGCGAAGCGCACCTGCGCTGCGCGTAAGTGAGCTTCTCGGTGAGATCGATGATGGGCGGCCACATGCGCGGCGGCGCGTCATGCTGCACGGGCTCGAACGGCAGATGCGCGATCGGGCTGCGCTTCAGCGGATCGGTCAGCAGGAACGTGACGAAGCACGCGAACACTCCTGCGGCGATCGCTCGCCGGACGGTGTAATTGGGCATTGTGGAGACTGGGATACGAAGCCAGACTCTCACGTCATTAGTCCTCCTAGCTATGTTTAGATTTGAGTCTCCAAATCAGAACGGAAAGATGCGGCAGTGAGAGGAGGTGCTTTGTGGCTCAGGCTTCACGGTATTCCGATCCGACGGCTGCGCAGCGAATCCTATGTGGACTGGAAATTGGACGCTCCAGATTCTCGGGTCCTGGCGGAGATTCCCAAGGTGTGGCTTGTAATTCGGAGCAGGTGGCATCCGCTGTGGGCGGTTCATTGCTTCCAAAGAAGAGTGACGGCGAATCCTAGACGTCCAGTCAGAGTAAACTAGTAACATCCGTAACAATTACGTCGTTCTTGGAAACATCATTTCGTTTTCATTTTCGTTTGGTCCTCCGCTACGCACCTCTCGCTATTATCACTGCGCGGCATTCCCCCCACCCTTGCTGACCCGCTTCACGGATCCCTGTTCTGCAGCCTCCTCTCCCGCCTGGCCAACCCCACATCCTGCCCATCCACCTCCCTCATCTCTGGAACCGAATCCAGGGCGATGGGGGCGTGTCAAAATGACACCATACCCAACCGCTCTGCTATATGCGTGAACCGTTATTTTTCGCTACAAAAACTTATCCCACCGCAGTTAATTAGAACCTCTTGGGATTGCCAGATGTAACGATGCTGCATTGCCATCAAGCGCTTTCCATCTCCAATCCAACCATGATAACTCCAGATTCCGTAATTTCCTGGCACATTTAGTTAGACAGTCGTAAGCTGGTCGGAGAAAGCGGAAGATCCGTCAGTGTAGCGCTGATTTTAACCCTATTTTTTGTTGTAACATCCTAGTCGAAGGCACTTCGTAGGCCACAGCAGGCGATTGCGCTCGCCCTTCGACGTGCATGTCCGTACTGCGCGGACCAATATTGGCAGTTAATTAGGAATTTTACAAGTAGCACGCATGGTGGTGAGATAGTCTCAGGTGGAGGTGATAAGTTCCACGATCTCGTCGACCTTCGCTCTTGAACGATCGATCGCAGCCGTCCATTCGGCGCCATGTCCGGTGACGTGGCGTCGAGGGACCGCGCGGCAATGCGGCTCGATGTCGCGGAGTTTCTCGTGAAAGAGCGTTACTTCCTCGCGGCGCTCGAGCTGCTGCACGAGCTGCACGAGGACCGTGGCGGTCAGGCCAGTCTAGACGACCATGACGCGTCGGAAGCGGCTCGTTTTCTCGAGCGAGTTTTCGCGGACGAGCAGCGATTTCCGCGCGACAAGATCACGGCTGTGGCGGCCGCGAAAGCACCAGGTCGGACCAGAATCCGAGTTGCTTTGTTCCAAAATAGCCAAACGATATGCCTATCAGGGGCAGAGGCCGAGCCTTCATAGGCAGCAACGTGTGGGTAGCCTGGCTTCCCGTCAGGGTGCCTTTGGTGGAAGCAGTTGTTTTTCCGCTCACCTCCAATTTCTCCCAGCCTGCTCCGTCATATTTCTGCTTTGAGTCCTCTCCGGTTCCCAGCAACCCCCTTTGACGGCCCCTCGCTCACATTGCTCATATCCTGACCGTCTCCTGACTGTGCGTCGCCATGCCTATCCCTGCCTGCCTGTGCCCTTCCCTTCCGCAGCCAGTGCCGCAGCTCACGCTGTGAACGGCGGAACTGGGGGGATTGCGGAACCAGGGGTGGGCGGCGGAGATGAGCAGGCTGCGGAGGACGACGATGCGCCGTTGGATGCGATGGGCGACGACGAGAGGCGCGATCTGAACTTCGCGGTGCGGGAGTATTTGGTGCAGGCGCGCTACAAGCTCACCGCCATGACTCTGCAAGACGAGGCAAGCTCGCTCTCCTGCTTTCTCCTCGCTGTCTCCCCTCTCTCTCCCTCGGCCCTCCCACTCTGTCTCTCCACTCTCTCTCCCCTTCCCCAGCGCCTCGCGTGCGTTACTGTGTCTGTGCATCCTATCTTCCACATTTCTTTGAGTGCCCCTGTATCATCACCTCACACTCTCCCACCCGGTGCCTTCCCCATGCCCTTCCTCGCCCCCCCCTCCGCCCTGCCCTGCGCCGCCCCGCGCTGGGTGCGTGCAGGTGGGGGATCAGGACTGGGACGACTGGGAGGACGGCCCCGCCAAGGCGGACAGCGCGCTCAGGCGCTACCTGCGCCACTACCTGCGCCGCAGGGAGGCAAGCAAGAGCGCTGCGGCGGCTGTGCGCGCTGCTGCTGACCTGGCGGAGATGCGGCGGGAAATGGAGCAGCGATTGGCTGGCGCTGCTCGGGAAAAGGCGGACGTGGAGAGGTCTCTGGCCGCCGCCTCTGCTGCCGCTGAAACCCTCAAAGCCCAGGTGAGTCCGGTGTCTGACAGTAGATGGCTTGAGGGTAGATGGCTTGATAAAGGTGCTCTTATCTGCACCCTTGTATCTCCTTCCTCACTATCTCACCCTCCCTCACACGCGCCCCTTTCACCCATCGCCTGTCATTTCCCCCACCACCACCACCACCACCACCACCGCGCTCTCACCACCCGTCTTGCAGGTGCAAGGCATGGAGGCGGAGAGGCAAGCACAGGACAACGAATTGCAGAAGCTGAGAGCAGAGCTCCAGGCAGCTTCCGAGAAGGTTCGTGGTCATGGCGCATCCGAGGCGTCTCTTCTGGCGCGGGCGGAGGGAGCCGAGCGCCAGCTGGACGCCGCCCAGGCTGACGTGTCCTCGCTCCGTGCTGATGTGGCGTCGCTGCGGGCTGAGGTGGCATCAGCACGCGAGGAGCTGGCAGCAGCTCAGCTTGAGTCGGCATCTTTAAAAGACAAAATCAAATCGATGGAAGCAGCAGCTGAAGCAGCGCGATTGGAGCAGGATGAGGAGTGGGAGAAGGCAGGGCAAGTAGCAGCAGACGCAGAGAGAACAGCAGCGTGGCTCCAACGAGAGATAGATGCAGCGAGGAAAGCAGCAGCTGACGCCGAGGCGAAGGGAGAGGAGCTGAAAGCGCAGGTGCAGCAGGTTCGGGCCGAAGCTGAGGCTCAGTTGGCTGAGGTTCGGGCAGCAGCGGCGGAGGCGAAGGCGGAAGCAGAGGCGAAGGGGAAGGCGGAGGAGGTGGCGCGAGGGGAGATTGCGCGCGTGCAGGAGGTGGCGAGGGGGGAGATTGCCCGCATGCAAGGCGAGCTGAAGGCTCTCAGAGACGCACAGAGGGAGCAGGCAGGGGAGAGCGGGGCAGCCCCTGCTGTTGCTGCTGCTGCGGCTGCGTCTGGTGGTGCTGGGGGAGTGGGCGAGGCGGAGGGGAGGATTGCGGAGCTACAGCAGAAGCTGGACGAGGCGAGGAGGGAGGCAGAGGCAGCTACAGCGCAGGTGGAGGTGTTGCGAGGTGAAATGAGGGAGGCTGGAGAGAAGTCCCGGGCGGAAAGGGAGAGGGTGGAGGCGCAGGCAAGAGAGGAGGTGGGGCAGTTGCGAGAAGAAGCGGAGAAGCGGGGGAAGGAGGCGAGGGAGGCGAAGGGGGAGCTGGAGAGAGCACAAAAGGAGCTGGACATTGTTCGTGGTGAGCTGGCGAGAGCCAAAAGTGAGCAGAAGGCTGTGGGAGGAGGGGGAGGAGGAGGAGGAGGAGCAGGCGAGGAGTCGATGGAGGTGCTGCTGGAAGCAGAGAGGAAAATTGTGGAGCTACAGAGAGATTTGGACGCTGCCAGACGCGAGGCAGCAGAGGCCAGGGCGCAGGCTGACGCCTCCGCTAAGGCCGCTGCTGCTGCTGCCGCCGCTGCTGCATCTGCTGCTGCTGCCTCTGCTGCCAGTGGTGGTGCTGCTGCTGCTGCTGCTGCTGTGGGTGGTGGTAAAGCGGTGGAAGGGGGTGTGGGGGCAGGAGGCGCGGAGGAGAAGAGAGGGGAGGCGGAGACAATGGAGGTGCGGAGGGCGGGCGCGGGCAGGGAGGGGGAGGAAGCGGTGGAGGATGAGGCGGTGGTGTGCCTGCTGGCGGAGTGCCTCCCTCGTATCATCCCCAACGTCCTCATCAACCACCGTGAGGTACCACCGTGCTGCTGTGCTACTCTAGTTCCAGGGCACAACGTTTCCATCAACCGCCGCGAGGTGCATGAGTGCTCACTTGTGTTGTCCCCTACCACACATCACATACATCGCATGTCACACACATCACACACACACACTCATCCCCACGGGCAGGAGCTGCTGCCGCTGATCATGTGTGCGATAGAGAAGCACCCATTGGAAGCAGCGAGGAAGGCGCAGGTGGCGTGGCTGTTCAACCTGATCAAGAAGCCCGACGAGGAGCAGCGCTCCGCCGTGGTGGCGGCATGTGTGCAGCTCAAGGAGCGCGTGGGGGAGCGGCGCACTGAGGCTGAAATACTCAGCCAGTGCTGGGATGAGGTGAGAGGGGTGAGGGGTAAATGTGACGGGATGGGATGGGGCGTAATATGGGATACCCTGCCTGTGCGTGGCCCCTCTCACTGTGTGTCGCCCACTCCCTGTTCGCCGCTCCTCTCCCTGTGCACCGCCTCCAGATGGGGCACAAGAACGAGGAGAAGCGGCTGCTGGTGGTGCAGCTGTGCAGGGAGATGGCGCCTCTCATGCCCCGCCGCGTGCAGGACGCAGTGCTGCTGCCTATGCTGTTGCAGCTCGCCACTGACAGCGCCCCTGCTGTCCGGGAGGCCGTGGCGGTGAACTTGGCTCCGCTGCTGCCGCTATTCGATGACACTGCTGTGCTACCCAAGGTGAGAGGAGGCACAGTGCGGTGCTGCATGGTCCGGTCAGGTGTGGTGCTATGAGTTACAGTGCAGGACGCCCTGCTGCTGCCCATGCTTGTGTTGCTTGTATCCCACGTGCCGTCATCAGGTGCAGCAGGCGCTGTTCCTGCTGGCATGCGATGTGGACCGGGGGGGGGGGGGGGGGGCAGGAGACTATCAGAGTGCTGCTTCTTGCATTCCATGTGCTTGCACCTCCTCTGCTTGTTTTCCACGTGCTCCTATGTCACGTGCTCCCATCAGGTGGAAGAGGCGTTGTTCCTCCTGGCATGCGATGTGGACGGGG